TGCAATCAGCCAACATAATCCATCACTGACTCCTACCGGGACTCAAGCCAAGATCACAAATTGCTACCTTATCAAGGATCCTCCTTATTCTCTTCCTATGTGTGCCTCTTTGCTTTTAAAAAAATGTGTTTGACAGAAAAGAGTGTTGGTTTGAAAATGAAGCTATTCTGGTGAGAAAGTTGAAGAAGGGAGAAGATGAAAATAATATTTCTTTGGCATTTTCTGCCTTTGCGTATGGTTTTGTTTTAGTAATTCCACTTAAGAAGATTTGAAATGAAAGACAGAATTTTTTCCTTTATTCAAAATGAATTCTTTTGAATAATTCTTTTGAATCAGAGTGAAAATAACACTCTTCTGTTTTCTGTAGATAACTTTATTCTCTTGGATACTTTTAAAGTCACTACATATACTGAACATTAGCAGGTACAATGTGTGGGCATTGCATGTGAATGTTCATACATGTGTAAAAATATTCTCGAAGGATCTTCAATCCTGAATGTCAAAGGATATGAAAAGTTTACAGACGGGTATCTAATTCAGAGATACTTGGTCACAGATTTTGTTTTTAGAAGATGAAGATCACTGCCTTGGAAAGTTCTCTATCTCCCTGTTGGGTTCTTTATCACAATGATTATCAGTCCAAGTAAGATAAAAATGAATCTGAAAAACTAAAACATGGTATCAGTGATCTAGTTAATTTTAAGGTTAAAGAAATGTTTCTTGTGACATGTAGAAATAAAACAGTAAAATAACAATTTAAGGTCTCCAAATTCCACCGGTAGATATCATGTCATCAAACATTTAAGTCATCAGATAGCACAGCAGTAGGGCGTTTGCCTTGCACGCAGCCAACATGGCCGACCTGAGTTCGATTCCTCCGCCCCTCTCAGAGAGCCCAGCAAGCTACCGAGAGTATCTCGCCCGCACAGCAGGGCCTGGCAAGCTCCCTGTGACGTATTCGATATGCCAAACACAATAACAACAAAGTCTCCAGTGGAGACGTTACTGGGCCCGCTCGAGCAAATCAATGATCAACGGGAGGGCCTTTACTTTACTTTTACTTTTAGTGAAACACAAACTCTTCAAAGGAAAAGAATAAGAAGCATACTGAGCAGTTGTTTTAATGGAGGTGACATGACCTTGATAAAAAAAAATAGTAAGTAAATAGGGACTGGGGAGAGAGTATAGCAGGTAGGGAATTTGCCTTGCACCTGGCCAATATATGTTCAGTGGCCAACTCCTCATATGGTCCCCTGAGTCATACCAGGAATAAGCCCTGAGCACAGCCAGGTATGGCACAATCCCCTCCCCCACTTAAAAACAAATAAACTATTACTAGAACGTAAAACATAAGCCTATTTAAGTTTACTTTAGAGAACTATGTGGTAGGTAACATAATTTATTTTAGTAATAGCACACTTAAGAGTAAATATAGGTGGAAAGATATATTGTATTCACAAATTCTAATTTTTAAAGGAAATATTCTTTTCAAAATTATTTATGCTTTTATTTACACATTCATTTTACTGAAAATTTTACATACAGGATTCTTCCTAATTTCTGATAGAACAAATTCTCAATAAAAATCTGACACACACAAAAAAAAAAAATCTGACACACAAATATATGAGAGTCTGCCCCTTGGAGAGAGGCAGGTTGAGTTTCCCTCCCTCCCCACCCCAGCCCTACCGAGCAGAGCCCCAGCAGCCGAAGACCTCCAGAACCAGTAACAGCCATGCTGAGACCACTCCCCACACGTCCGAACAAGCCTCATGCACGAAGGAACTGTCAGAGGAACCCAGGCATGCGGGTCCCGGGGCTGAGATCTCCAAGCCTGCTCAGATTGGGACTGGGCCTTCTCCACCCAGATCCCCCATCTTCCAGTAGGTAGTTGTCACCCCCACCAGCTGCCACCAGTGCCAGGTTGGTCCCATCAACAGCCAAGACACAGAGACTATAAAACCCAGCTCCCAGAAGACATGTTTCATTTCATTTCATTTCATCATCCTGTTATTCGTCGATTGCCTCGAGCAGGCCCCAGTAACGTCTCTTTCATCCTAGCCCTGAGATTATATTCAAGGCTCTTTAGGAGAATGAGACCCATCATTGTTACTGGTATTTGGCATATTTGGTACGCCACGGGGAGTTTGCCAGACTCTGCCCTGTGGGCAGGCTACATTCAATAGCCTGCAAGTTTGTCCAAAGTAGAAATGAGACAATAAGATGTCATAAAAATAAGTTCTGATAAGATGTCGCGCAGCCGCAAATGCGGCCGCGCAGTTCCAGGATCTGGATTTTATAGTCTCTGAGTCTTGGCCACTGATGGGATTACACGGCGCCAGGGGGCCAGGTGGTGGGTGTGACCCCCGCCTACTGGAATTTGGAGGATCTGGGTGGAAGATGCTCAACTCCAATCCGAGTAGGCTTGGAGGTCTCGGCCCCGGAACCCACGTGGCTTTGTCCCTCTGCCAGTACCTTCATGTGCGCGGAGAGTGGTCTCAGCATGGTGATGGCTGGTTACTATATCGTTTTTCCTTCGGAGAACCTGGCAGGCTACCGAAAGTATCCTGCCCTCAGGCAGAGTCTGGCAAACTTCCCGTGTAGTACTCAATATGCCAAATACCAGTAACAATGATGGGTCTCATTCTCCTAACCCTGAAAGAGCATTGAATATGTCTCTCTTAAAAATCTCAGGGCTAGGAAGAAGGAGACGTTACTGGTGCCTGCTCGAGGCACAACAGGATGATCGTGACCATGATCATTTTTGAACAAAAATAACAAGTAAATAAAATTAGGAAATTTAAATTGATTTTATTCCCATCCAATTTCATCTTATTTCCTACATTTCTTTTTGCAGTGCTGGGAATTTAATCTAACTCTCCTACATACAAGGCAAGCATTTTGCTGCTATACCACATCCCTAGCTCCTATGCCAATTTCTTTATATGTGATAACAGGAAAATCATTTCATCCAGTAGACAAAAAAAAGTGCAATTTAAAATAATTATGTAATTGAATCAGTATTTAACTCTGTGATAGGGTACTTTCCTTGCATGTGTAAGGCACTGAGTTTGATCCCCAGTTATGCAAAAGTGAAACAATGAAATTAATTTCTTTAACTGCTTTTTTAAAATTTTATTCATTGAATCATCGTGAGAATAGTTACAAAGCTTTCGGGTTTAAGTCTTGGTCATACAATGATCAAACACCCATCCCTCCATCCCTTCATCAGTGCATATTTTCCACCACCAAGAGTCCCCTTATACCCCCCATGCCACCCCTCCCCGTGCCTGTGAGGCAGATGGTTTCCACTTAACTCTCTCTCTACTTTGATTACATTCATTAGTTTGACAAAAGATGCACCATTATTATTGGGAATTTTGCCCCAACAATCAAACCTGCCAAAAAGCATCTTGAAATAACTTGTTTTCTGTTGCTGGTTATGAAGACAATATAATGTCTGTGGCCATGTGCTTTAGGATTTCTGATATTTTACTAATTAAGTCTGGAGGGATTTCTGCCAAAAGCCAAATAGTTCTGAGATTGGTTTGTGTGCCTCTGGATTCATGGTTTTGCCGGATTGCTGCCTGTGGGGGCAACTCGTGGTCTTGGGAGGGCAAGAAAGATGTGCCAATTCTTCCCCCCCCCATCCCATGAGGCTGCAGTTGCCTCATCACTGCCAGCTCATACCCAGCTGTCCACTAAGCTCTGAGGCAGCGGCCACCATGCTACCAGGGGGGAAGAGACAGACACCCTTTCCGTCCCGGGGGTCGGGGTGGAAGGCATGGCACCATAGCTTACTGCATAGTCCATTCACATTTCTGCCAGAAGCTGCTGGGTTCTGAATTAGGTCCATGTGCCTCTGGGGCCATGGCCAAGCCAGACAGCCGCTCGTGGGGGGACCACAATGAAATTAATTTGTAAGGAAAATATTTATATTCCCCAAGTACTGCCAGTAGCAATCCTCATATAATGAGCTGGGAGCATCCATTGAGTATCACTGAATGCTATCTTGCCCTCTAAGCCCCACACAGAAACAAATAGAGAAGAAAAAGTAATAATTATTCCATAATTAAAACTAAATTCATGAAGATATATAATTCAGGATAAACTTTGAAAGGATAAAACCAATCTATAAAAATAAATTGTTACAAGATGAAAATTAGACTCAAGTAAATAAGAAAAATTTTTTTTCTAAACATGACTCTGACTTAATTTTTCTTTCATAGACTAGTTAAGCAGCTATAGTGGTACTTGGTTTGTTTTGCTTCACATACACAGTAATATATGGGAGTGGTGATATAGCTCATTGAACTGATATACATGCTTTGCACTCAGGAGCCTTGGGAACAATACCCAGTAATGCTCAGTCCCATGAACACAGCTGGGAGCAACCCTCAGGCACTGAGTCAATAGTAGCCCCTGAATATTTCTGAATATAACCCCAAACAAAACAAAGCAAAAATAAATCAGTATTTTAATTAAAATTTCCCCTGCCTATTCATAAGACATTTCTTTCTAAAAGGTTTTATTTGGGGAAAAAAAGGCAAATCAAAAAATGTGTGTGTGTGTTTTTTAATATCAAAAAACCCAAAAGAGCAGGCCTAATTCTATCTATAGGATATGATAGAGTATAAACTTTTGGTTTATTTCCCACTGATTTTTGAGTTAGAACTCCATTGGAGATTTGAGTAAATCACAAAAGTATTCAAACTTTCCAATATTGACCTTTAAAAAGTAGAAGAAATGAAATAATTGCTTCTATATACTGTTTAATATAAAATGGAATGGGATACTATAACATCAAAATATATCAAGAGCTCAGAAGGTATCATGCTTATCCTCAAGTATTATTCAGATCCATCAGGATCAAAACTTAACTAATTAGTTCCATGTCAGGAGAAAATCCAGAGAAGCTCAACATCAAAATCTGCCTAGCTGGAGCATAAAACACTGGAATTTAGTTGCCTAAGCTGTAAACTCTGATGATTTCTTAACTGATGGATTTTGTTGAATCTGATGACCAGGTGAAAAAGAGTAAGTGAGAAACTGCTAGGGGAAGGAAAGTTGAAAAAGAATCTCCATATTTTTCAAATTTCCCGTTACAAATTCCACCAGATTCTCTAGGTGAGGAAAGAAACATTTCCTTATACCTTAGACAAAAGTTCAGAATACCATTATGGAACCTATATAAGATTCTTCACAACAAAGGCCATCTGTCCAAGAAAGAACTTAATTAAATTGTAGATTTAAACTTTATCCCAACTGGTGGGAAGAAACTACTCTCCACTCCAGCTCCAATGTCCTTCATTATAGAAAAGTATAAAATGCATATTAGTTTCTCCTTACTTTAGACATATCAATGGTAGGCAGATACAAATGATAGGCAGTATTTTAAAATATATTTAGAATTTACAAGACTCTTTTATATGAAACTTAGTGATAATTAATATATTTAAATATTATTTAATTAATTAAATTACTAGATTGATATATTATTAAACGTATTGTTAAGTGTACATTTCATAATAAGCATGTTTATTATAACATAACAAAGTATAATCCCATAGCATTATAAAGTATAATATGGTAGTAGCAAACAAACTTGTATCATGGGACCACAAGATTTTTTATGCACTATGTTGTAGCCTTGAGGATCTACTCACAAATTCATGGGAGACCCTGATGGTCCCCATAATCCAAACTGCTCTATGTTCCCAGAATCTAGTAATGAACCACCTTGCTCACTAGGACAGCTATCTTGGGAAATGATCCCTAGCTATGCCCTGAGCACAACCCTGGATTTCCATGTCACCCCTCATAGAAAGGTGTAATATTATCTGTTGAAATTAGTTCAATATGAATACATAATACAAGACTATAAGATAAAGAAATTATCTTTTCTCTATTATTTGATTATTTGCCTAAGTGATACAAAGTTAACCAAATATGCTTTTCCCAGATGGAAAGAATTTTAAAAATATGTGTACTTACTTAAGGTTATCCATGACGTGTCTTTGGGTCTCTTCAATAGCCATGTCCACCTGCCCACATACCAAATTCCGCAGGATGGATATGCCGTTCCCAATGTTCTCCCTTCCGAAATCTAACACGCCATTTCATAGGTAAATAAGTGAACAACACCTGGCCCAGACAAGGTCAGACCTGAATACCTGAAGAACCTGCCATCAGTACTCATCAATACACAGGCTTGGCTCTTCACACGCTACCTGTCTGAATGCATGTCGTCCCAATGGAAAACCAGCAGGACTGTGCTACTGTACAAGAAGGGAGACATCCACAACATTGGCAACTATCGCCCGATCTGCCTATTGTCTGTCATCTACAAGTTGTTCACTTGAGTCATCCTAAATAGGATTGGCAGAACACTAGATGAAGGACAACCATGAGAGCAAGCCGGGTTCCGCAAAGGATTCAGCACCATCGACCATATCCACATGATAACCAAGCTCATTGAGGTTTCTTGGGAGTTCAAGATGCCGCTCTTCGAGCACACATAAGTAACCTAACCTCACAGCTTAAGAGCTTGGAGAAGGACCAAAAAAAGGAGCACAACCCGAACAGGAGAAAGGAAATAATAAAACTCAGAGCAGAGATTAACGAGATGGAAACCCAAAAAACAATCCGAAAGATCAATGAAACCAAGAGCTGGTTCTTTGAGAAAATTAACAAGATCGATAAGCCTCTAGCAAAACTCACAAAGAAAGGGAGAGAGAAAACCCTAATAAACCGAATCAGAAATGAAAAGGGGGTCATTACAACAGAAACCACAGAAATTCAGAGGATCCTCAGGGAGTACTTTGAGAAGCTTTATGCCACGGAACATCAAAACCTCGAGGAAATGGATAAATTCCTAGACTCCTACAGGCTCCCAAGGCTGAACCAAGAAGACCTGGAATACCTGAACAGACCTATCACCATCAAGGAAATTGAAATGGTAATAAAAAGTCTCCCCAAGCACAAAAGTCCTCGCCCGGATGGATTCACTAGTGAATTCTTCCAAATCTTTAAAGCGGACCTACTCCCAATGCTCTTTAAGCTTTTCCACGAAATTGAAATATCAAAAACACTTCCAAACAGTTTCTACGAAGCAAATATCACACTGATACCAAAAGCAGACAGAGATACTACAAAGAAAGAGAATTACAGGCCGATATCCCTGATGAACACAGATGCAAAGATCCTCAACAAACTACTAGCAAATAGAATCCAACTACTCATCAAAAAGATCATACACCATGACCAAGTAGGATTCATCCCAGGGATGCAAGGATGGTTCAACATTCGGAAATCAATCAACATAATCCACCATATCAACAAAAGAAAAGATAAAAAGCATATGATCATATCAATAGATGCAGAGAAAGCATTTGATAAGATCCAGCACCCCTTTATGATGAAAACCCTAGCCAAAATGGGTATAGAGGGGACCTTCCTCAACATAATTAAAGCCATCTACCACAAGCCTACAGCAAGCATCATCCTCAATGGGGAAAAACTGAGAGCCTTCCCTCTAAGATCAGGGACGAGACAGGGATGCCCACTCTCTCCACTGCTGTTCAATATAGTACTGGAAGTACTTGCAATAGCGATTAGGCAGGAAAAAGATATTAAGGGCATTCAGGTAGGAAAGGAAGAAATCAAGCTCTCACTATTCGCAGATGATATGATACTCTACTTAGAGAACCCAATAACTTCCACCAAAAAACTCTTAGAAACAATAGACTCGTATAGTAAAGTTGCAGGTTATAAAATCAATACCCAAAAGTCCATGGCTTTCCTATACGCAAACAGTGAGAGAGAAGAAAGCAACATGAAAAAAACAATCCCATTCACAATTGTGCCCCAGAAAATCAAGTACCTAGGAATCAGCTTAACTAAGGAAGTAAAGGACCTGTACAAAGAAAACTACAAAACGCTACTTCAGGAAATAAAAGAGGACATGGGGAAATGGAAAGATATCCCCTGCTCATGGGTCGGGAGACTTAACATTGTCAAAATGGCAATACTACCGAAAACATTGTATAAATTCAATGCAATCCCTATAAGGATACCCATGACATTCTTCAAAGAAATGGAGCAAACACTCTTGAAATTTATATGGAACAATAAGCCCCCACGAATAGCTAAAGCAATTCTTGGGAAAAAGAAAATGGGAGGAATCAACCTCCCGAACTTCAAACTGTACTACAAAGCAGTAATAATTAAAACAGCATGGTACTGGACCAAAGGCAGAACTGCAGACCAATGGAACAGGGTTGAATACACTGACATCTCTCCTCAATCATATGCTCATCTAATCTTTGATAAAGGTGCAAATAATGTGAAGTGGAGTAAGGAAAGCCTCTTTAATAAATTGTGTTGGCATCACTGGACGGCTACATGCAAAAAAATAGGCTCAGAACTCTGCCTAACACCATGTACAAAAGTAAGATCAAAATGGATTAAAGACCTCAACATCAGACCCGAAACCATAAGGTACATTGAAGATAAAGTTGGCAAAACCCTCCATGACATTGAAGCTAATGGTATCTTCAAAGATGCCACGCCACTGGCCGAGCAAGTGAAAACAGAGATATATAAATGGGACTATCTTAAACTAAGAAGCTTCTGCACCTCCAAAGAAACAGTGACCAAAGTACAAAGACAGTCTACAGAATGGGAAAGGATATTCACCGAATACACATCTGACAAGGGGTTGATATCCAGGATATACAAAATACTGGTTAAACTCCACAAGAAGAAAACATCCAACCCCATCCAAAAATGGGGCAATGAAATGAACAGAAACTTTCTCAAAGAAGAAATCCGAATGGCAAAAAAGCACATGAGAAAATGCTCTACATCATTAATCATCAGAGAGATGCAGATCAAAACCACAATGAGATACCATCTCACACCTCAGAGACTGGCCCACATTCAAAAGAACAAAAGCAACCGATGCTGGCGTGGATGTGGCGAGAAAGGGACACTCCTTCACTGTTGGTGGGAATGTCCACTGGTTCAGCCCTTCTGGAAAACAGTATGGACGATTCTCAAAAAATTAGAAATTGAGCTCCCATTTGACCCAGCAATACCACTCCTGGGAATATATCCCAGAGAGGCAAAAATGTATAGTCGAAGTGACATCTGCACTTGTTTGTTCATTGCAGCACTCTTTACAATAGCCAGAAACTGGAAGAAACCTGAATGCCCAAGAACAGATGACTGGTTAAAGAAACTTTGGTACATCTACACAATGGAGTACTATGTAGCTCTTAGAAAAGATGAAGTCATGAAATTTACATACAAGTGGTACAATATGGAAAGTATCATGCTAAGCGAAATGAGTCAGAAAGAGAGGGATAGACATAGAAGGATTGCATTCATCTGGGGGATATAAAGTAACAAAGTATGAGATTAATACCCAAGAATAGCTGAGATCAGCACCAGGAGGATTACTCCATAACTTAGAGGCCAGCCGGGTATCCTAGAGGAAATGGCTATTCAGATAGAGAAGGGAGCACCAAATAAAGGATGTTTGGAGGATCCTCCCAGGAGGGGAGATGCATGTCGAAAGTAGACTATGGACTGAACATGTTTGCCACTCAATGCCTCTTTTGCAGACCACAACACCCAAAAGGAGAGAGAGAACACAGGGGATTGCCCTGCCACAGAGACGGGGGGATGGGGGGATGGGGGTGGGAGGGATATTATCCATGGTGGTGGAAAATGGGCACTGGTGGAGGGATGGGTATCTGATCATTGTATAATTGAAACCAAAGCACAAAAAATTGTAAATCTACAACTTTAAAAAAAATAAAATAAAATAAAGGGGAAAAAAAAAAAGCTAATTTGAAAAGAAAAAAAAAAAGATGCCGCTCTTTTTAATGTTCATTGATTTAAAGAAGGCCTTTGATTCTGTTGAGACAGAAGCGGTCATTGAAGCCCTAGCCAATCAGGACATTCAAGCCCAATACATCAAGATCCTCCGTGAGCTGCATTGCGGATTCACTACCAGGATCTCACCATTCTAC